GCAGGCCTTTGGAGACTCTGTTGGACATGGTTTCTGTTGGCCTCTGACATGATAAGATAAGATAATGGAATTAACTGTTTGTGAAGAAACCCCTTTGGGCTGGGATGCTCTTGATAAGGGAGCCTCTTTTGTTTGCTTCATGCCTTTTTGCAGACTGTTGGGAGCCTAAACCCCCTCTGTCTAACTGTTACAGGGTGTGGTTAGGTGTGAATATGTGTTTTTTAGAAGTATCTGGGATGGGTGCTGGGATGCTCTTGATAAGGGAGCCTCTTTTGTTTGCTTCATGCCTTTTTGCAGACTGTTGGGAGCCTAACTGCACCCCCTCTGTCTAACTGTTACAGGGTGTGGCTAGGTGTGAATATGTGTTTTTAAGAAGTGTCACAGTTTATTTCTAAAAGAATACATGTTGTTTGCGGTGCTCTATTTAAAACTGTTGGCCTGTGAAACTTTTAGAAAAGTGAAATGCCCCTAAAGTAGTTAAATCATCTATGTGTAATCATCGAGTCTAACTGTTGCAGACTAGTAGATAATTATAAGACTAGTTGCATTAAAGCCACATTGGAGAAAAAAAGTACAGGTATATCACTACTAATGTCCTTCAAGAAACCTGGAGAACTATTGTTGTAGACTACTACAAACATTGTTCACTTAAACTATTGGACTTGAATAAATGAAATTCCATTCAAAATAAAGTAGTAGTGCATTCTCTCAGTCACATGCTTTCAGACTGTGAGGGTAAGAACAGCATGGATGAGAAAAGTCCATTTTTCTTCACTATCAATTACTGATGTTTATCAGCACATAGCATTACTTCAGTGGGTACGCTTTTACAACAGCTTATTAGCAAATGGGATGTTGTGTATCCAGATGACAGTGAAAACTGAAGCAAATAAAGCTGAATGCTTAAATTTGTATCATGAAATTCTGTATTTGGCTTCTGTTCGGGGATACTGTCGATGATTTCCTTTCAACACTCAGCTGAATACATCCACTGGTTTTCAGACAGTCATTTGTGGGTTTTTTAGGCTGGTTTCACACTAATGACTTTATAACACTGTTGGTTGGCTTTACAAATGAAAGATGGTTTTCTGTCAGCAGCTTCACGTGTTTTTTAGTGATTCTTAGTAAGCAACTGTGGATAAAGTCTGGATGTCAGTGTGTGTGCATGTGTGAGAAAGACATGGGGAGTGAGAGACAGATTATCAGTAAGAGGAAATGAGACTGAGAGCTCCCGAATGTGGCTGACTGAACTCAGACTCAGATCATTGCTGATAATAACGCTGTCCGCTGCTACTATCCGCTGTGTCTCTATTTATTATTTATGAACAGAAACTACTTGTTCCTGTCACTTCAGGTGTGACGGGCTGGGATGACCATATTAGGAACACGGAACCTGCGCACCTGTAAGCTGACGTCATGTGCTGAAAGTACCTGAAAGAGCGCCTTGCAGAGTCGAGTCTCAGTTACAGAAACTACCTTCAGGGGACAACAGGAAGACGCCAAGAAGCGAGTTCAAAGAGGAATATATTTAGGATTCTTTTCGTTTTTGGCTGTGTACTCGAGAGGAATACTAAAAATACGACTTAGACAAATGGGGACCGCATTGTTCGCGGTTTTTGGTGCTTTAATCGTCGTTTTCCAGGTGAGACTTCCTCTTTTGGTTAATATTTTGCCATCGGTGCTCAATTCTCTCACTGTCCCTTCTGCTTAGAGTCACAAAAAATAAATGTCGGTAAATCCTGTTACTAATGTGATTGAACTGGACAACACCGGGTATCTTACAAGCAGTCTTTTCTTTCTTTTCTTCGCGGAATAATTTCGGCACCTCTTTATGCGTGAAGTAGCCTTGGATTTTAATAAAGAAATGCTTTTATCAGCTATGGTACTTGCTGGGACTAGTGGGCCAAACGAACTTGTGGGGGTCTAAAATCCTTATTGTGTGTAGCAGCTTTCTTCGCAGAGCAATCTGCAACAAATATTTAAAAAAAAAAAAGTATTTTAAAAAAGTGTCGAAACCGCAGAACACACGCGGAGGTTTAAGCCGTCTTTCTTTTCATACCCTTCCGCCTCGAAGAGTTCGAGGTTGTGAGCGAGCCTCGGCCTGATTCCGCTCATGACGTTGTCTGCAGGTTAATTTCCAGTTCAGAGTTGTGGTTTCAGCTTTGTTCACTCCAGTCTGTTTCGCTTACACATATCGAGAAGCACTTTTTAAAAAGATTCATTAATGTAAAAGAGAAAAAGGACTATCATCCAAGTAATATCGTTTTTGGGATTTTAAAATGAAATGAAAAGTCATTTGGCTTACAGGCACACTTTCAATTCATTCATATAATTACACGGAGCGTTAGACACACTTTCATTAGTATTTAAAGTGACAATTATTTTGTTCTTTATTATTTAGTGTTTAAACTGTGTATATTAAGCAGCAATGCTTTGCCAAGGCATGGCATTTTCTGAACAACAGCTCAAAGCTGCACGACGTTCAGCTTAAGGAAAAACCTAAAATCCTGACCTTTCAATGCTGAAAACATTTCAAGTTTTTGATTTATTTTTTTTTTTTTAAACGTGTAGTTATTCAGTTTCGAACTCTTATAAGCCTGAAGTCTTATTGTACGTCTAACTAAAACTGTTGCTCCTCTCCTAGGTGTCGGCACTAGAGAGAGCTAACAGGCCAACATGTGTGCCTGGATTTGAGTCAGAGCTGCTGGTTTTCAGAGTGTCCAGGGAACATCTGAGGCCGGGCATGAGGCTGGGCAAAGGTAAGAGCAACCCAGTGTAGGCTCGTACATGGGTGTTTTTAAACGTGTTTTTGATTTGGATGTTAATGTTTTCTGGATGGTGCGTTACTCTTAGTCATAATCTAAATGAAATAGTTTTTGGGTATTTGTTTCTATTGTCTAGCATCATTTCACATTACAGATTTGTTTGTATGAAACTGTCGGAGGGTTTAGACCTGAGTTGCAGCCCTACATGGAATAACTCTGCTGTTGTAAAGGACTCCTCCAGCCCAGATGGCCTTCAGCAGATTAGCTGGGCACATTGTTCTTAGTTGAAACCCAAACATGTCTCAGCCTGCTCTCACTCTGCTTCTCTGTTACTTTTACCTGCTGGTCAGAGCACTATCCCCGAACCTGTTTTACAGGCTTTGCTATTCAAGTGAAACTCTGAAAAAGGAGCTGTTTTCTTTGATTTCAGTTAACTGAAAGGTTTTTAAAAGCTTCTTATAAACAGACTTAAACAGTTTTTGTTTTTTTGTTTTGTTTTAAATGGGCTGTGGTTATGCATGTTTGCTTTAACGTGAATATTTGTTTCTTTATCAATTGTCTCTACTGAATAACTAATTACCCACTTTGATGGGGTTTTTAAGACACAAGCAATTTATGATAATCAGATTAAAACGCTGTGTAAATGTATGTACAGCTTTACCTTGTTTATTTAGGAAAATATTGCAGAAATCTATATCTGGACATCATATGCCAGTTTCTGTCCTTTTTCAATACAATTCAGTAAAATGTCATTAAGAGTAGTTGCCAACAGGGCCCTAGAGTAGGTGCCAAAAGTACTGCAACCTAAAAAAACTAAAAATCAAGTTGAGTAGGCACTAATGAGAAAAGGCTGTAGTGAAGCAAACACTTACTCCACAATACTTCTATAAGGAGCAGTGAATAATGGGTAGAATAGCTGGTTCGAAATGATTGATGGTTCCAACCCTACTAAAATATAAACATTGTTTTAGCTTTCTTGGCCTATGGTTATTTTGCTGCTTTTTGAAATGACAACCTGAGCTAAACGCCAAATTTTTATTAATATTTTTACCAATTTAAACCCTCAAAGCAAGATTGGTGTGTGTGTGTGTGTGTGTGTGTGTGTGTGTGTGTGTGTACGTACGTGTACGTACGTGTGTGTGTGTACGTACGTGTGTGTGTAGGGTGAGAGGTGTGTACGTACGTGTGTGTGTACGTACGTGTGTATATATATACACACGTGT